TGCAGATTCTTTTTTTTTTCACCACTAAAATATTAATGACAGACCACTTGCTTTGATGGCTAGGCTTTAGTTGTGTTGAATACGGAGTTATGAGTCTTGGGCTTATGCCAAAGCCAGTGGGACACAGCCTAGTTAGTGGTCAGCACTTCTAGCTGTGAGTATGAAATACAGGTTACAGGAAAGTTAATGAAAACCCTTTCCTCGGGGATTTTGGGGTCCTCTAGAGGCCCCCTTCTATCCAGGTTATGCTTTAGGGATACAGGCTGGATGGGTTTCAAGGGCTGACTTAGTCTAAATCAATTTTTTTATTGACTAACCTGTTGAATTTGTCTCCTGCATCAGGCAGTATTGGACCTGGTGTTCTCATCTTCATAAGGAAAACATTGGAAAATGCCAAATCACCTATTTCAGAGCTAAAATGAACCTCTCAGATTATCTGGCCCCTTGCCCTTGTTTTACAAATGGGGAAACCAGCCCAGGGAGAGAAAGGGACATGTACATGGTCACATGACTATTAGGGCAGGGCTGGATCTAAATGCGGGTCTTTCCCCACTTCGCCTTACTAAATAGACTATTGAACTGCAGCTGGTATTGTGAGGCCGTCCAGGAATCAGGGAGTCCAGGATGCTGGAAGAAATGAAAGGATGTGCAAGAATTCCCTTCCCTGGACTGGACTCTCAGGGCCTCCCCCAGCAAAATCGCTGCTACTGACCCTGCAGTCCCAGCCTTACATCCAAGAAAGGAGGCTGAGTCCCACCCACTCAGGCAGCCCCAGGGTTATAACTTAATCTGCATAATTAGGACATCCATTCCAGAGGGGGAAAACATGGAAAAGATAAAGGGCCTCTTTAAAACAGATTCTTCCTGATAAATTTTTTTCATAATTATAGCTTTAACAGCTTATGGTGATGGGAAAGCTGGCTACTTAAGAAAAATTAGGAGTCTCATTTGGCAGGAAAAGAATCCCCCGGGGGACAGTGCCCTGTCATTTTTCAGGGTCTCTGGAAAAGAAACCCCACACAGACAGCTGCACGTCAGCCTGACACAGGGCAAGCCTGCTTTACTTAATATGGCCAAAGCCAGATCTTTTAATTAAAAACACTGCATATGCCATTAAATGCGTTGTTCCCCCTCCAGTCCCAAGACGTTGTAGTTTGAGGAGATACAAACAAATGAATACGTTGCAGATGTTCAGAGAAACCATTGCCTACTTGAGTCACAAACCAGCGGGTTCCCAAATTCCAGCCTCGGAGTGCCTCCCCATCAAAATGTTCTTTGCAAGCAAACTATTCCCTCTGTAATTTTCACAGTTTATGGCAGTTGCCATGGCGGGAGAAGAAGGGCCGTGGGGCGGACGAGGGAGAGAGAAATGCAATGCCACCTCACTTAACTTACCAGCAGAGCCTCATATTTTACAAATAACCTTCATGATAAATAAAGGCCTGTGGCCACACATGGGACTGTGCTGTTCTGTGCATGTTTGCTTTTCCTGGCTAATTTTATTTATTTATTTTTGAACACAAAAGTCACATATTGGGGGTAATCACATCCCGACTCTGAGATCTGGGAGGAGACGCACAGAGGCAATGCTCGCTTAATTTCAGCCACCGGAGATGGTTTGAGTTTGACAATTTCAGCCGATTCTTACCATCACTAGCCAGAGCACCTTTCTGCCCAGGCGAGTCCCGGCAGCTGGATCTCATTTTCAACTGCCAGGCCATCCCCACGCCTTCCTGGAGCAGCCCACAGACTGAGTGCCGTCCGTTCCGGGAGTTTATTCAAGGTGACAGCTCCTCACACAATGGCCTTCTGATCATCTCAAGTAGCCAAGATATCAGTGGGGTCGGGCGTGCTCCTCCTGCAAATTCCAAATTTAGATTGACTGAGGTTATCCTTAGGCCCCTTGTCCCCACCGCTCCAGCAGAACAGAACTGCCAGGACCTTCGCAGCCGCAGTGAGTTTTGTAATGATGTCTGGGGAGAGATGTTCTGCAGGGGCAGGCAGAGAAGACCCCGAGTGATGGGGAGTGATGTCAGCTTTCGTTAGAGCGGCAGACAGCGTTAGAATATCCTTGGCATAATATGGCGCTGGTATCTCTGTCAGCATCTCTGTTTTCTGTCACCGCACACAATCCTGGGCCTGTCTACAACCCTGACGGTGTCTTTTCAGATCAGGCTGTTGCCAGCACAGAGACTAGCTCCGCTCTTCACCACACAGCCCCTTTGTTTGAAGTCTGCCCTTTTGTCATTAATGCACTTGATGTCTATTTAAATCTGACAGTGAATGTGGTATCTGTTTTCCTGTCAAGAGATCATTGACAACATTAATACCTCATGTCCTTGCCTCATTTTCCAAGCGCTGACACCTAGCCGCAGTCTCCTGCATTCATCAAACAGCCTTCTCTCACCAGGATGTCTATAAACATTCTTACTTCCAGGCCCAAAGAAAAAGGGTAGGCCTTGAAAAGGGCTTTTATCAATGCCAGCCAGAAAGAAAGCTTGGGAATGTGGCACAGAACACATCACAGCCCACGTTCCAGGAGCATCCAGTCTGTTTCTAGGGCGGCACTTGCCATCCAAGTTGCATCTAGGTGAGCTCTGGAGTTGAAGTTTACCCTGGAGCAAGGGAAGAAAAAAAGCAGTTGAATCCCTGAATGTACTGGAGAGTTTACTGGAGATAGGGCACTCATGGTGGGTGGGGTGTGTGTGTGTGTGTGTGTGTCTGCCTTTCATCCTTTCGCTTAAGAGAAAGATTGTGTTCTTTATGACATCCAACAGACCGTATCCATTCCTTTTTATTAGAATTCATGTTATCCTAGTGCTGTAGAAAGAAATTAGCATCCTTTGGCCCCATCCTTCCACATTCTTCAGGGTTTATTTGAATCAATTATGTTTAAGGAAGCCCTCTGTGGATACCTGGCAGAACCGAGGCACTCCCACCCAGGCCTGTAGTGGATGCTATTCCTGGAGCAGGGCCTGACCAGAAAACCCCACGGACCCGCAGGATCCTGGCATGGGTGACAATATTAGTACAATGCTGATGGCTACATTATTCAGCACAATAAAGGAAACAGCCCAATGCCAACAACTAAAAGAATAATTTAGGTCCCGAGAAGGGTCTCAGTGAGGTTCCATCCAAGCTCAGTTTCCAGGCACCAGACCAATACTGAAAACCAGAAACTGGGGATTGGGGGACGAGGAGAAAGCATGACCAAGGAGGAAGAATGATCCACAGTAAACTTGCTCATGGGAACATGGCAGGAAATAAAACTAATGAGCGTGAGCCCAAGGCCAGCTTTGAGGCCATGGAACAGTGTCACCCTCTCTCCATTGCCAACTCTGAGAGACTCGTTGACCCTAGCAATTTCTAGCTTTCTTCCAAGTCATCCAAACCAGGGAGCATCTGCTTTGTCCTTAAAAGTTTCTAAAAGTCATTTTGATCCTTATGTAAGAATAAGGTTTGAAGTTTTGTAGTGGAGAAACATCTCTTTTACAGTTGCAAAAATATTTACTACTTAGAACTTCTGATGTGAAGAACCTGGTTAATTTCAAGTGCTAATTTATCACAAATTAAAAAAATAAATGAGCTTGTTGGTTTCACACTATTACATTGATGGAAATAAAAATAATCATGTCCCTAGGTAGCTATTTTCACAAGCAGATTTGTGGCTCTTAAATGAATGTCTTATGGACATTTCCTTTCTTTGTTTTTTTCAAGTTGTGTACAGTTAGTTCAGAGACTCAAGTCCAATTACTTCTAAGACAACTCCGTCTAACTGAATTTAAAATAGGTTTTTCTAAAAATAGAAGAAAATAAAAACGCAGGTGACGAAAACAAAACAGATTTTTCCTTGATAATCCTACAGAGCTTTCATAATAACTATGGAGGTGATTTCTTATGGGTATTTAGAATAAATAATGAGTTGACTAAAAAAGTTCAACCCTACTGTAGGGGCATTTTTCATTGTTAAGTCTCCTACAGTCTCCTTGAATGAGAGGAGAGCCTTATGTGGAGCCACAGAGTTACTTAAAGTAAAACTGAAAATGGAAATCAAATGCTTTCTGACCGGAGAAAGAGAGTTCAGGATGCCTGTAAGAAGCCATTTAATGTTGGAGGCTCTGTTCCTGTCCATGTGGAGTTATTTTGGTTTGTTTATTTGTTTTTGTTTTGATGGCGTCTGGCTCTGTCACCCAGGCTGGAGTGCAGTCATGCAATCTTGGCTCACTGCAAGCTCTGCCTCCCGGGTTCACACCATTCTCCTGCCTCAGCCTCCCAAGTAGCTGGGACTATAGGCACCCGCCACCACACCTGGCTAATTTTTTTTTTTTTAGTAGAGAAGGGGTTTCATCGTGTTAACCATGGTGGTCTCGATCTCCTGACCTTGTGATCCACCTGCCTCGGCCTCCCAAAGTGCTGGGATTACAGGCATGAGCCACCGCGCCCAGCCGTCCATGTGGTATTTTGTCAACACTGCCTCTCTTCCTTAATCATCCCATATGTGCTCAATGCCTGGTGCCTGCCAGGATTTGGAATATTCTCTCTAGAAGTTAACAATATTGCTTCATGATAAAGGGTATCAAAATAGTCACATTCTGGGAAGATTGTTCTGTCTTTTGCTTGGGCTGGGTTCATCTTTAAACTCTTAATTTTCCATTCTTAGAAACTCTACTAAGGGAAACTGGAGTGAGGAGAGGCTATATTCTGGGGAGTAATTGGCCAAATTAGAGAAGTACCTAACATGTGCAAGAGAAGTCATGCAGAAAGCGATATTCCTAGGAACCTGTATTTGTAGTGACATTTTATTTCAATGTCAACTCTGAGGTCGACAGAACCTCCTTGTCTGTGAGGACAAAAAGATAGAGTTCTTCCTTTCTGGGGCTTCATCCACTTTCTGCTGCCCGTTGGATCTGTGATTGTCTTGCATGTCTGTTTTTCAGTGCCTGTGGCTTCCCTGCTATGCTAATTGTGCCACCTGTAATGATATGTGTCTTTATTCACAGGTGTCCTGGGGAAGTGTCGCTACATTTACTACGGAAAAAACTCGGAGGGCAACAGGTTTATCCGGGATGACCAGCTCTGAAAGCAAGTTCTGTATACCTTCACCCATTTCATGAAAATAAAATCAAAAGGGAAATCAAAAATAAAGACAACGCTAAAGAAAAAACAATAGCCCACGTCGCCTCTCTTTGGGAAAAGCTATGACTTCAGCTTTTGGAACCTTCTGCTGACTTTGCCAGGCCTGTCAAGATGATCCTTCTGCCTTAGACTGAGTGGTCACATAGAGATTGACATGATTGCCCTTAAGCAGGTCTCATCCACCAGGGTGACAGACAGCGGTGGCGAAGCAACGGGGCTGACAGCATGAGCACCATGATAGATTGCCTGGTCCTGCCACTGCTCACAGGGGAGCAGAGGTCACACCTGGGGCCTCCCTGGGCATGCTCAGTGGCTGCAGTCAAGTGAGAAAGACTGTCTTCAGCTCACCTATTGAGCTGAAATCCCTCTGATATCATCGTGCTGCGGGCTTATTTTTAGTGAAAAAGTCACAGTTTAGGGGAAGGCCACTCTCCCTCACTTCCTTTAAATCTTCACCTCCTGTATTCTGCATATACATAGCTCCCGTCTCTTCCCCTCCACATTCCTTTAGCATCATTTTTATGACAGGTGATGCATTTCAGTTTGCAGTTTTTCAAAGAAGAAGGTATAACTTCCCAGCCAGGTCATACATTTATGGCTGGCTTCATGTTGCTACAATCCCTTTATTGGAGTAAATAGCTTTCCCTAAATCCCTGACTACAAAAGCATGGGCTTTTATCTTGTTTCATTCAACTCTAAATCCACTTCTTGCCCTGAATATGATGCAGTGTAAGGCAGTAAGACATCTTTCTCAGCACGAGGGTTTGGTTGCACCAGGGACTCTTATTCATTAATTTATTTTTAACCGTACACACTTCCAGTGATGCCTGGGGCCATACTTGTGCGTGGGGCTGTCTTGCTCCTTTGGGTGCTATTTAAAGGTAGTGAGGTGATGAAAGATAGAGTGATGGGTCAGGAGGTTATAAAACAAAATTAAGACTGTCAAAAACACCCACCAGACCAAAGAGTTTTTATAGAAGGCACAAACCTTTTGGATTTCACATTTGTCACGACTTCTCAGAAATCAAATCCATAGGTTGTGAGACGGTGCTTCCTGTATGCTTGGCTGTGCCCTAGCACTAATGTCACAAGGAACGTAAGTGTGATCATTGCTAGTTGGGTGACTCTAAGTTTATCTAACTTGCTGGTGCACCAGTCAGATCACTCTAGAAGATATTCAAAAGGCTGATTGTTCTTGACACAATAGTGTTTATTTTTCTGCTTCTTCTTTTTAGACCAAGTGTTCATTGTCCTCCCAGTATTAGGTCAGTTGGATGACAGCAAAACCTGAAAGAGAATCCCTCCAAGTTATAGATACTGGGGACTAGGAGCTGCTATTGTAAAACTACAGGGACTCAGAATCCCTAAGCTGCCCAAGGAGAACCTACTTTCTCAGCTCTAGCCCGTTTACATAGCCTCTGGCCCACTGAGTCAACACAGGCCTTGAATGATATGTATTGAGGCTGGCAGGAGTCCCTGTTAGAGATTACGCAACCCTTGTTAATCAGTTCTTTAGACAAGTTAACATAAAAATCCTCAAAACCATGAATAATTGGAGAATGTTGAATGTTTGCCTTTATCTCTCAAATCCATTAGTAACTGGAGTTGAGTACCTTTTCTCTGTTTGATCTACAAAACAGCACTGGAAAAATGCTTTACATTATCTGCATTTGGTCCCACCCTGGATCGTTGTTTAGAAGCATCAACACATGCTTTCTCCCTGGCATAATATGGGCAGCCAGAGTTCTGTGCAAGGGCAGCTAGACGAGTCCGGTGTCATATCCAATCTAGCCACACATATATCCTTGTCTTTATAAAAGGCTTTAACCCTGCCTCAAACAATAAAAAAGCACTTGTGAACTGACCACAGAATTTTTCCATCTTTATTTTTCTTACTTGTTTACTTTTTTTAATGTCAGAACCATTTGTATCATGCGCAGGAATGTCTCCCTCAATGTGAGCTTTGGAGGCAAAACATATTTTTGGAGTGAGTTATTGGCCACATTGTTTCCCTCTCTTTGGGTTTTTTATTTTCTTCCAGAACGGTGTAATAACTTTAATTAAGATTAGCTTTAATTATAAATTACCTAAAGGCCATCACTAAGGTATATTCATCTTATTGATAGAATTGTAGTGAGCTTTGTTTCTCTTAGGGAGGGATAATGATAATGAAGTGCTGGGTTGCTCACAGTTCCACTGTGTGTTAACCAGATTTCGCTGTGCTAGAGCTAGATTTTGGTCTGAATTGGCAGAGGTAGAAGCCATGCTGCATGTTTATCTTAAATCTGTAGGAATTTCCCAAGCCTTGTTTTTCAAAGTCAAGAAGTAGAAAGTAATAAATTCAATCAGGGCCCAGACATGTTTTGTACCTCCTTTACCCTTTGGTCTTTCTTCCTTTTATCCTATTCCACTGAGCTTGTTCTTTGGGGATTGTGGTGCCTGACATCCCTGTCTTCCCTCCCCTAGGACGCTGACCTGAGTGGAGAGACCTCAGCAATACAAGGCTGTCCTGCAACTCTCTGTTGCCTCAGCAGTGTCAGGACGACTGTCTCTTTCCTAAGTAACATAATTTTAAAGAACAATTTGTTCCTTAGGGAATAATGTCTTGGATTGTGGGGAATCCTATTAAAAGTACAACTATTGCGATCATTTGCTTTTACTTTTACCAGCCTCGCTCATAAACCCTCCATCTGTTTGTTGCTTTAAATAGAAGCACATTATAAGAGATTATCACTTGATCAGGCTGCATGTCTGAGTGTTGTGTGTTTTCACATACTCATGTATACTAAGGAATAAAAGAAAGCAAACCACAGATTCTGGATGAAAGGATTTTTTCATTTATGTGTGTGTGTGTGTGTGTGTGCATGAGTGTGTTTCCAGCAGAGACGTATCTTGCACATTTTCAAGGGAAAAATGTCTTTCTTGCTGTTTTCAGGAAATAACCTGGCTGTCTTTCTTTTCTTTGTTAACATGCAGACCAAAAACAATCCATAGGGCCCTTTTCATCAAAACAATAATGGTGTTTAGTACTTGCTACTGGCAAAGGCAGCCTAAATCAGGTCTGTGTGGCTGCAACACAGGTAATGCCCAGCATGGACACAACAGTACCCATTGCGACTCTTCCTTGGTGTCCATCATTTTAGCCGATCCAGTGTGACCTTTGACCATCTGCTTCTTCCAGTTCTGTTTCCAGGAAGAAACCCTCTCTGAAGAAGGGTGCTACCACTACTCAGTTCTCTCTAAGTTGTTTAAATACCATGCAGGAAACTGACTGTTGTGAGTAAGACCTGGAAAGGAAAATGAGACCTGAGAAGCACAAAGAATGTTGATTACCTGTTTATATGACAACTAGACCATCGGCTTGTGGTCCAGTGTCGTGTGTTACTTCTAATGCATCAGCAACCACTCAAATGACCTGAAGAACATTGAAAGGCACAACCACTGTTCAAAATATTGTCTTCCTACACGTTTACCTGAAATTTCCCAGCATTGGCAGTTCCCATCCTTTGGGTAATTATAATGCTAAGTGTTAATTTGTGACTTTGTGGTTGGGATAGGTCATAAATTGTGTTATTTGTGCATATTATCATATAAACACATGCTAATTCTTCTAGACTATCTTGGAATGTAGCCCAGAGAACAAACAACCTGGGACAAGGGAGTTTTGCTAAGAAACAGTAGGGGAAATTGTAAGTATGTAATATGTTTGGTGGAGAGTTGCTACAGTAGGAATGATATAAATGGCAATAAATGGGATTATGCCAAGAGACAGAATGCAGCAGAATTAAAATGTGGCATCTTCATGGCTAGGAGTAAATTGAGAAGGAAAGGGAAAAGACAGTTTTCTGCCAGTTAAAAGGTTTGCTGATATTCAGTACTACAGTGATGTTTAGGGATATTTTATCCTCAAAATGTAATCATGTTTCATATAAATGAGTGTCCACCCATTTAATGTTTTACAAGTTTTTCTGTCCAACACAATGAAACAGTGTAGAAAAGATGGTTCATGGAGCACTGTGGGAACAAATGATCACATGCGTGGCAGTTGCATATGGACAGAGATGGCTGTGGCTGGTACCTAATATTCTACAAACTCAGCATCCTAAGGCAAGTGCCTCAGCTCTGGACCAGCTAAAAAATACAAGGTAAACTTATGATCTGGGCAGTCATATGAAAGAGAAAATAGTTTTATGGTCATGGGAAGTCTTCATATATTCATCAAGTTCAGAGGTAGATGGACACCTTGAGAAGATAACATAAAAAACCAAAAATATTTAAAGAAAAAGACGAGTGCCTGTATATGGTGCAAAAGATGCTGGCAATAGGATGTAACTGTTATTGGCGTGCAGACAGCGAATAAGAACTTAGCTCATCGAAAGTGTGAATAAAATCTTAGTTCAAGTGGATTATGCGGATTAATATGCAGAATATCCTAGAAATCATGTTTATGTTTTGTCACGTCAATTTACTTTAAATAAACTTTTCCTTCTTCGTATTGTAATAGTTCTCTCAATGTTATAAATAGGAATGTATTTTAAAACCTCTGGGATAATTTCCTTTAGATGTGAACTTTCCAATTTAGGTGTTTGTGATGAGAGGGAAAAAGTCCTGACAGTGGACTTAATCACAATATTTAGACTCTTCTAGTTACAGAGTATCAAAATAGGTAAGAATTAATGTATATTATTTATTCACAAAAGCTCAATTTCATAAATCATAGTCTAAATCATAATAATTAAGTGCTACTATAAAAGAAATTTCCCTTGAAGCAAGAAACAAATAAAATTTAACACCCAGGTAGAGTATGGTGTTTTAATTTTTATGTTATTACTGTTTAAAGTCATCTCTCATGAAAAAATGTACTCTGACTTCTACCCCACATTCAGTTTTTCAGGTTGTGCTTATGATAGAAACAGCTTTGGGGGGCAAAATGTAGCTTAATTAGAACAATAACAATGACAGCTATAAAGTCCTCTAAAAGTTTTAACTAATTACTTGGGTTATTAGAGAGAGAGAGAGAGAATGTGTATGAAAGAGTTTGGAATCTAACTAGAGAATTCCTATTACTGACATAAATTCTCTAAGTTTTGCATGGACTCCAAAATAGGTCAGCAATTATCCTGTTACCATGTTACATAGAAAAATGCATCTATTTCATAGCCAATTAATTAATATCTACTTTGTGTCCTCCTTTCCTATGAATTGCTGATCTACATTTTATGATGTCAGTCATAAAGTGCTGAAGCCCTGGTGTGACAGTGTCGTGATGTTTTTGTTTTTCCCCTTCTTGGCCTTTTAAACACAGGATCATTGTTCAAAGAGTAACTTAGAGCAATTTTGTTTTAATTAAGAGAGATCTTTGATGCTCAAAGAAAAATAGGTTACATGAGTTATCTCTAAAAGTTACTATATAAAACCAGGTTTCATTTATAGACTATTCATATTCCCGTGTATTTTTACATTCATACACAATAGCCATATTTCTTTATTTGCATACAAAGGTTGTCTTCCCCCAAATAATTCCTTTTTCTACAGGACTATAGCATAACGTTTACATTCTGTAGCCACATTGGCTACATTCTCAAACACAATAAATGTCCAAATGCCTCCAGTTAGAACACTTACCTCCCCTCCTCTTTTAAAAAACTTTATTTGGTGTGCTCACTCAGAATGATCCATTTTCAAAGGATCACAGTGGAGTATAAAAATATTTGGACTTAATGGTCAACACATTCCTGAAAGATCTAGAATAAATGATGATAATGAAGGTTACCATCACTAGAAAAGGGTCATATTTTGTGGTGTAGATATTTTGATAAGTTAGGTTTAACCATTGCTTGGAAAATTACATTTAGCTGAAAAAATTAGCATCTCAACTCTGATTTATTAGATACATCTTGCAGATTTATTTTATAAATTTTTGCATATATAATATAGATATAGGGTACTGGCTTATCAAATATGAAAATGGAATTTACAACTCCATTTTGGCTAGTTTGGCCTATGGACCACTTTAGTGGACAGTATTATGGGCTTCTTTCCTCTGGTTCATTCATGATACACAAATGCACATACTCATAAACACATAAATAATGGTTACTATAATTATTTCGCAATATCATCATTAAAACAAGCACGAAAACTGTCATTTTACTAAAATGTGTTGGTCAAGAAATTACTAGTTGTAGAAGTACATGCTACTGGAAGCATCCGTTTACTTCATGCAGATCAGTAATATAAATATATGAAATACTCTTAAGAATACAAATTGGCTATAAATATTTAAAAACTCTAATATTTTCCATTATTTCTGATTTGCTCCCACCACACTGTTGGGTCACTTCTTTAGAAATATTTTCCAAGTAATTCTTGGTTTACATGGTTTACATGGTCCCCTTAGGTTTTGAAGCTTTTTTAAAAAACGATGCTAATTTGTATCTCTAAGGATGCATATCCATGCACTCACTTCACAGATATTCATTGGGTACCCTTAGTATGCTAGAAAGTTACAAATACAAGGGGATAATAAGAGGATGCCCTGCTTTTTGACAAATTTCTGTCTGGAGTAGACTAATATATACACAAAAATTATTATATGGTGAGATAGGTATTAAGTTAGAAATTGCACTAAAGAACTACATGAATTAAGGCACCAGAAATGATGGTGGGAAGTTAATTCCAAATATAGCCATAATCCAACCATATCTGCAGTTACCATCCTGACCCAAGACACCAACATTTCTTAACCTGGATTATTGATTACATCCACCTCCCTACTAAGTCTCCTGATTCTCCTCTTACCTTTGTACAGCCTATTCTTTATGGGAAAGTCAGTGTGATCCCCTAAAAATGCTCAGTGACATC